GCTGGTCAGTTTGGGAATATCATGTTATATTGCCATGCCGAGATGAGAATTGTAGAGCTTCAAGATAGCAAGTGAGGGATTTTTTTTTTTTTTTCAAACTTTTATTAGCAATGAAAACCTTCAGTGAAGCTTTTTTCAATGAACTCGTATCAGGCAACCCAGTAAAAGAGAGCAGAGCTGGATAAACGAGGACAACAGTCCCCAGAACCTTTCTTACTTGTGTTTTTCCTTTGCCTGCCGAGCTCCCCACCTTGGGAGCCCCCAAGTATTCCTCTATCACCCTAAGGCTTTCTAAAAGCAGCCTTGAAAACAAGAAATAGAACGTAGGGCTCTCAAATTAATGGATGTGACAATGTAAATCTAGAGAGGTTCACCAAGTTGTCCAAACTCCCAGCAGAGTGGTGCAGAGCTGTGACTTCTGACCCAGGTCTTATGGTCCCCTGCTTGGTCCTGTATCTGCCCTCATATCTCCTCATCCTCATCAGTGTTAGAGCTTCAAGGTGCAAAGAGGAGTGGATGCTAGGCAGGACCTCAGGGATGGGTGGATGTTTAAGTAAACTGAATTCTGGGGTCCAAGATCCGAGCTTGAAGGCTTTTGCTTTTCTATGTTAAATCAGGGCCAGGGTATTTATTCACATGAGACTGATTTATAAATGAAGGCGCCTGTTCAGTTTGCAGCAGCGTAATGCTTTTCCAGGGCATATACTTTTATCTTCCTGCCGTCGACTTCATTTCTGGTAGCCCTGGCTGCCTGTAGTGGAAGCCTAATTCCTGGTGCAGTATCCCCGTGCACGAAAACCTTCTCTGCAATGTCCTCTGCTGGCCTTTCTGTGGCTGCAGTTTCTTCAGTTTGCTCGCTCCCCCGCTTACTTCAGTGGCGTCTTGTCGCTGATACAGGAAATGGGTGTTAAAGCCAGCAGGGGAATGAGAAACACCATTGATTATATGAAAGTCCAGAAATGACAGATTTCAGTTGCCACAGAACAGTTTTCTTTTCTTTTTTTTTTTTTTTTTTTTTTTTTAGCTTGAAACTTCTCAGATCCTACATTGTCTGGTCTTTGTTGGCAGATGGCAGATCTCCGCAGGAATACATAACGTTCAGTAATACGTACATGCAGATACATTCCTGGCTCTTATGTACGTTTTGGTGAAGTCCTTGTGTGTATCCCCTTGAAGGCCAATCAGTGCGTGGATTCTGAACATAACTAAGACTCGGCATCTTGTTCCTTTTATCTTCCCCATTTTCTAAAACCATGTCAGTGTCAAAGGAGAGAAGAGACACGTTCAGCCGTGATTGTCCCATTTGAACGAAGTGTGTGGGGGTGGTCCAGATGTGAGCGGTATGAGCTGAGACGGCTTTCCTTTGATGCCGAACACAGCTTTACCAACCTCCTCCAAACACATCTTCCCATTTCCTGTGGGATTACGGTATACACTTGTTTAATGATAGCTGAAGTATTGTAGGAACAAATGCGAATCTGGTTTGCATGCTTCCTTTCCTTCAGCAGAAATAAAGGGGGCCCCTGGAGTCCGTGCTGTTCTCATGGAACAGTGTCAGAAAATACCACCCTGAATTCATTAGTCGAGATTGGCAGCAGAGCTGTCGGCCTGAACCTCTCCAGAGAGGGGCTTGGTGGAGCTGATAGGAGAGGCCCTTCTGGGTCTCATGGTGGGTGAGGAGAGTGGCCCATCAGATAATTCTAGCGAAGCTCCCTGCTGCTGGCATCTCTGCTGGCAATATGTTTTTTGTGTATTCGAATTCTTTTCACCAAGTTCACAACAGCTGTAAATTGGAAGATATTAAGTCTATTGTTTTCGACAATTAAAGGTATTTCTGTTTCCTAACACACGTGTTCTTAGCATGGATTTGTCTCTTGACAGGCTGCTCTCTAAAGAAATGCATATAGTCAAAGCTCTTAATGTCTCTTTCAGTCCTGTCTCCTAGGGCACTCTGCGGTTTTTGGGATCTTTACCCAGCATGAAATTAATATTTCTTCTAGTTTTGATGCATTCTTTTATTTTTATTATGTTTATTAACAGGCTGTGAAGAGTTTTGCTGTCCATATGTGCTTTTCTCAGCCACATAAAATCCCTTTTTTCTTATGCCTTGCACACAGTCCCTGATTATTTGGGAGTTGCCTTATTATTCATTGTACCTATGCAGAGACAGTGGGTCAATTCCTACTTCATTCCCATGATACTCACTTATGGTAACTGTATCTCCGTATTTATTGTGAAGTCAGAGATCGAATGAGTTAATCATCTAGTTACCTGATTTACAGTTGGTAGTCAGGTTGAAGTTTAGTCTGCTGGTCCGTATTCTATAAGCTACTGGTTAAACAACCACGAATACTGGATTCTATAAGCTGCTGGTTCAATAGCCACAGATTCCTAGTTCTATTGTGGAGATTTTTATTCAGTAGGTCTTGATTCAGATCCAGAAATCTGCCATTTTTAGAAGTTCCATGGAGGACTCTGGTGCAGGCACATCAAGTATATGTCAGGTGTCATGACTGTGGTTTTTAGCAAGAACATTTTTCATCTGTTGGTGTCTCAGCTAAGAAGATAGTTTAAGCCATTCCCAAATTAAGTAATATACATTTATCTGCATATTCTGGGCTGTGTTGGAGAAGGAACATCAGTCAGGCTGGCACTTGGGGACCTGGTTCTGACTTCTGCATCGACTTTTCATCAAGTTATAGATACACGTCTAGGTATCTGTCTCATTCGTAAAGAGAGGGCACCAAGCACTTTCCAGATTCCTGACATTCTTTGGTTTGAAGGGTTTTGCGTGGTAGGATATGGATTCATCATCACTGTTCATCGATGGCTGTTGCTTCTTCTAGTTTATTGAATGCTAGCTGCTCAACAGACCATTAGTTGCAGCTTCTGGTTGCTAGTAGCTGTTCGCAGATTCAAGACAACTTCTCTTCCTTTCTCCTGCCACTAACAATCTCCCAAACCAGATTGAAGTAAACCATTCCCCTGGGAAACGAGTTCTTATGTTGGGATTTGTCTCAAAGAAAATTCAGGTTGTAATTCTGATCCTTTCCATATCCAGCCTTGGCAGTTTTCACCCATTGGGTCCTTTTTTGCAGGCTAGGGACTTTTGTGCCTTTGGGCACAAGATGTGGCTAATGTCATAGTCTAGGGAGCTGTGCTTGTAAGGCTTCAACCCACCCTCCCTTAACAAACCATTTGCTTCCAGGAATTTGCTTCATATTCTCCAGAGGGGCTGGCCGAGGCGAGTGGCAGAACAAAGTATCCCTGTAAACGTCTGGTTCTCTGCCTTTGTGGAGTTGCATCAAAATAGTCTGTAGTGCTTTTAAAATTGTGCATGTGCGTGTCACCTAGCCGCCCCCCCCCCTCCCCCCCGGTACTATTGAATCAGCCAGTGGGATTGGACTCGTGATTTTTAAAGGCTTGAATTTCAGTGCTCTCTCTGGAGCCTCCTTCTCTTCTCCAGACTGGGTTCCTGCACTGTTTCTTCTGTAACTATGTTTTTGTTAAGGCATGTATATATATGTGGAGAGTTGTTGTCCGAATACAGTAAAGTGTGGTCTGCATCTATTGAGAAAATTAAGTTGCCTTGAGACTTAGCCCTCAGAGGCCGAAGGCTTAGCATTCCCAGCACACGGCTTCGGTACAGGCATTACCGCTAAGGATTTACCCGTGGTGCCTGTCTACTGTGGGCTGATGGTTCTTTTTTCATCAGTGTGATGGAGAGTGGGAAGTCATCCTTTCATTAAGTGTCTCTTCATATAATTAGTCATTTGTCCTTTTTTCAGTGTAATGCAACAAATATTATTGAGACCTTACAACATGGTAAAAGCATTGTTCTAGATGCTGAAGTTGGTGTGGTGAACCAAACAGACAAAACTGCTGTCTTCCTGAACCTTCCTGTTCACTGAATATATATTTATATGGGATTTAGCATGACAGAATTAAATGGCTGCATTATAGCATTATGAAACATCATTTTAGGGGAATTTTTCAGGATCATCTTACATACATTCCTATGATCACAAATAGAACCAAAAAACTGAACTAAGCATATGAAACCCGGATTAAATTAAAAACGTTGAGACCAGACAGAGACTGTCTTACTAACACTACAGGTAGCTCATGGATGTTCAGGTACATACTTTCTGAAGGCAGAAAGAATAAACCAGTGGGCTCCAAAAGAAAGATTGCTAAGGGCACTGGCAGAATTAAAGTTTATCCTTTGATTTGGGGAATAAATCTCCAGAGAGTTCTTAGTTGTTACAAGTCTTTCTTTGACTCTGTATTTTTAACTCCGTGTAGACCCAGATACTTCGGGGTCACTTGAGTTCATAGTAATTTATCTTTCCCTTTCACCTGTTCAGTGAAAACATTAATTGGAGCTGAATGTTTCAGGCCTCTGGGGTGCTACTTTACAAGTACCTGCACATTTCTGTACTTGTCTTAAATGGGTTAAAGAACTTCCCAAGTGTCTACTATAGTACTAGGTAATTTACTGCTATAGTATCTACTTCGTAGTTTATGTTAAAATCATTTGATTTAGTTGTAATGGGAACATTTTCAATCTGCTTTTCAAGGAATTTAAATACTAAATTGTCCAAATCTTTTAGCATACCTGTTTTAAAAGTGCTTTTGTAAAAAGGAAAATGGGGTGGTGGGGTTTGTTACAGTTTTCCTTTTTTAAACCATAACATTCTGGGATTCTGAATGCAGGCTAAAAAATTGTTGGACTGCAAAGATAACCAATGAAAGAAAAACACATTTCACAAAGATTTCAATATATCAAGGGAACATTGAAAAGAAAGCAAGGCTTAGCTTTAGGGCCTGGCTCATGTTGCTATTTGTGACTTAACCAGCTTAGAAGAGAAGTTAATAGTATGTGAGAGAGGCAATAAAAAGATATTCTGGAAATAATTATTAATGCTAAAATTCCTGCATCTAATTTTAGAATGCTTATGTTTGGCATTTCTTTTGCATGATGAAAATGTGTATTTCAGGTTTGCGGAGAAAAACAGCGCTTTGAGAAGTTGATGGAACATTTCAGGAATGAAGACAATAACATAGATTTTATGGTGAGTTATTCCAGTACCACATTACATTCAATAAGGCAAGCTCCGTTTCTGTGCTCTTTTTCCTAAATCCATTTAAATTTCCATATGATACATATGTGTGTATGTATGTGCATATAAATGTTACAAAGGACAGAAAATTGAGTGTAATGTGCTATAGATTCAATCTAGAATGTTCTTCACAATCTGCGTTGTCCCCTTACAGTGTTTATTTCCAGTTTTATTCCTCACGCACATACGGTACTAAAGGCCCAAAGTACTAATTATTTATAGCAAATAAATGATGAAGCCATACCTTTGGGAAAAGGATGTTAACTCCTGGTACATATACCTGCAGTTGCCAGCTTTAGCTTTCAGTAAAGCTGCATAAGGATCCTGAAGATGGAAATCAAGAATTTTGGGGTGCCTGGGTGGCTCATTTGGTTGAGCGTCTGACTCTTGATTTCAGCTCAAGTCATGATCTCATGGTTCGTGGGATCAAGTCCTGTGTCATGCTCTGCACTGACAGCTCAGAGCATGCTTGGGATTCTCTCTCTCTCTCTCTCTCTCTCTCTCTCTCTCTCTCTCTCTGCCCCTCTCCTCCCCGCACCCACACGCACTGTCTCTCTTTCAAACTAAACATGGAAAAACAAAACTAGAATCTTGCCATTTTTCCTATTATATACCTCAGCCAGTGGCTTTCTCCAGACTGACTATTCTCAAAGACTAGAGTGCATTGGTTTGTAGAATTGACTACACGTATCCCCCAAATTACCTTACGGGAGTGATTCCTGCCCCCGTCTCTTTCCTGCCCTGGGAACTCTGAGGGCAGAGTTAGACTGCGGGTCTCTTTAGCAGGGTAATTCCCATGTAAGGGCCTGTGGTTCAGCGGCAGGACTGTCATCTTCAAGTATGAACAGCAAAAGGAATTTGAGAACTGCTGAATTCAGATACTTAAATCTTCATCTTGGACTGAAGATGGACTCTGCCACAGACCATTTCTAAGACCAATCACCCGTGGGTGGGTCCAGATCTGCAGGCCTTCTTTGACCCAATCCAGTTGACATACGCAGCTCTTGTGCCCGGGAGATCCTACGTGGGCTTTGTCTCTCAGGTCATTTCTAGCTTGGAGTAGGTATTCCAGTCAGTTCTTAACGTCGTGAATCCTTTAAACCTGCATTTAGGGTACCAGGCACAGTTTTCATTTGAATTGCTTTAGTGGCTGTAAAACATGAAACAGAATTTTGGAGATTTCTAATCCTTTTATGTGAATCTTTTTTCTGGGTCCTTAAATTTTATATGCATCCTAGCCCTCAGGTCCTTCCAAAATTGGTGAGAATGATGAAATCCTATATAGAGAAGCTTTGCTGTTCCATGAAGCATGTTACTTGCTGTTTAAAAAAGCAAAAAATGTGAAACAAGGAGTGTTTTTACATTGGCTTTTTAATTTAAACATTTTTTTAAAATTTATTTTTGAAAGAGACAAAGTGCAAGGGGAGAGGAGCAGAGAGAGGGGGAGGCACAGAATCTGAAGCAGGCTCCAAGCTCTGAGTAGTCAGTGCAGAGCCTGACATGGGACTCGCACCCACAAATGGTGAGATAATTACTGACCAAGCCTCCCAGGCGCCCCACACGTTGGCGTTTTAATTTTGTTGTTAGGATTTTGGGAGTGTTTAAGGCCTATGTTTGCACTTGTGGTAAATATGTGAAGAAGCTGTGCCCAGGCTCACTGTGCCAGATTCTTTCCTCTGCCTTCTTAGAGGCAAGTTATTTGTTCCTGGAAGCTGAGGTTGCAGACTAGAGGCTCCCAGGCTGAGCCAACCTACAGGCTTGTGAGTTTAGTCTGACAGTCATGTCCTTCAATTAAAAATTTGAAAGCTGTATAAAAATATGGATTTCTGGTTCTTTTAAACTAAAAATTTCTGCCAACACTAGACCCCATTCTTGCAGAGTATCAGGTGCTGGACCCAAGCAGCATTTATGTATGTATGTATGTATGTATGTATGTATTTATTTATTTATTTAAAAGATCACATGTGTGTGAGAGGGGGAGAGGCAGAGAGAGATGGAGACACAGAATCCAAAGCAGGTTCCAGGCTCTGAGCTGTTAGCACAGAGCCTGATGCAGGGCTTGAACTCATGAGACATAAGATCATGACCTGAGCAGAAGTCAGATACTTAACCAACTAAGCCACCCAGGTGCCCCCTGGCCCCAAGTTTAGTCTCAAGATCCTCTTTCTAGTTTGCCATGGTCCACAGCATTCCTTACTGTATTACATGTGGTCTGCTTCACTCATTATCATACCTTGTGGATCCCTCTGCCATTTGAGTTTCTGCTGGAATTATGTTAATAACCCCTTTAAAATACCTGCACTGTTTACAAATGATACATTTCTTGTCATTTACTCATATGTACATGCATCAAGGAACCTTATTTAGAAACTGCTAATATACAGGTACTGCTCTCAGTTCATCTGTCACCTAGCAAATAGTTGCTTCTCAGGCATATCCTAAAACCTAACAAATATTCAGAAGAGAAATGGAAGATGCCAGAATCCCACCTGACCATCTCTTTCTTTTTTAAGCTCATTTAACCATAGAACCAGAAGTCATTTTTTGGTAAATTGCAAAAGAATCTCCTTGAATCAAGACAGTTAGCATATCTTCCAAAGATAGCCGGTGTATAACATATACTCAAAGGAGAGTTTAACCCGATAGAAACAGTTTGAAAAAAGATATAAGAAACTGGGAGGAGAGGGGAAGAAGGCAGTTTTCAGAGTAAATGTGAATCTTGATCCCTCACTCATTTTACCTCCTTGGAGTAGACTGCATTTACCCATAGAGGGAAAGCACTAGTTGGATTTTTTCACCATAAATAAACTGTCATTATTTTTATTTTTATTTTAAATCATTTTATCTCCTTGCACAGACTGCACTTACCCATAGAGGGAAAAGCATTATTTAAACATTTTCACCATAAACAAACTGTCACTATTTTTTAAAAAGTTTTATTTTTTTACTTTGAGAGAGAGAGAGAGGGCAGTGGAGGGGTGGAGAGACAGAATTTCAAACAGGCTCCGTGTTGTTAGTGTGGAGCCTAATGTGGGACTCAAGCTCATGAACTGTGAGATCATGACCTGAGCCGAAATCTAGAGTCAGATGCTTAACCAGATGAGCCGTAGGTGCTCCTAAACTGTCACCATTAAAAGCAAGATATGGGCACCTAGTTAGTTCAGTTGGCCACTCTTGATCTTGGAGATCTTGAGGTTGTAAGTTTGAGCCCCAGGTTGGGGGAAGGGAGTACTTAAAAATAAAACCTTAAAAAAAAAAAAAAAAAGGAAAAGAAAAATCTATCTGTTCAACTGTGTTTTGTTCTTTACCAAATCAGGGACTCATTTTCTCTGTGGCAGGTCTCAGGGCCACTGATGGAGTTGTGGGGAGAAAGTAGTAAATCCATGGCTTTTGTGGGATGGTAGCCGGTTGATTGTTTAAAACGGAAAAATGGGTCAAAGATCCTGTTACGATCTTGTTGGTATGGGGGGGCCCACAGTGAGATTTTAGAAGTGATTATCCTGTGGTACGATTATAGGTGGTTTGTAAAAATGTTCTTTTGTATAATAATTTTTCACATTTTCTGTAATAATGCTTACTGCAACTTATACAGTTTGTTCTGTGTACCCATAAGACTTTTTAAAAGGTTTTATTGATAGGTGGTTAACATAACATGTAACTTACCCTTTGTAAGTGGACAGTTCACCACATTTTTTGCATACATGCAGGGTTGTGTGGCCGTCGCTGCAGTCTAATTTAGAACACGTCGTCACTCCAGAAAGAATGACTGTCAGTAGTTACTGCCCATTTCCTATCCCCAGTCCTAGGCAGCTGCTAATCTACTTTCTGTCTCCACAGATTTGCCTGTTCTGGATATTTCATATGGAATCATAACATATGTGGTCTTTTATGACTGACTTGTTTCATTTAGCATAATGTGTTCAAGTTCATCCACATTGTAAGATGCATTGGTACTTCGCTGCCTTTTTATTGTCACCTAATCTTCCATTGTGTGGATATGTCACATTTTTAAATCCATCACTTGATGGATATTGTGTTTTTCCCCCACTTTCTGGGAAATAATAATATAAAACAATACAGTACTTATAAGTTATACTAATGTAAGTAATAGTGAATAATGCTGTTACTAACATTTGTGTTTGAGTTTCTGTATGGGTATGTATTTTCATTTCTCATGGGTATATATCTAGGAGCAGGGTTGCTGGGTCCTATGGTAACTCTGTCATGAATATTTTGTGGAACGGTCAAACTTTTTAAAGTGGCAGCACTGATTTATATCTCTGGCAGCAGCCAATGAGGGTTCCGCATTTTCCACCTCCTTGCAGTTCTTGGTATGGTTTTTCATTTTGATTATAGTCACCCTAGTGGATGACAAGGGCTCTTATTGTGGTATCTCTATGACTTTTGAATATAAAAAAATTATAAAATAGTTTTAAAGACCCAATGAAATGAAGGAAAAGGAGATTGGTAAGTGAACTTACATTTGTGTAATTGAAAGCATATGCCTATGTTCAAACCAAGAAAACAAGTTTCCAGCCATCTAACTCACTGGCACTTTCATTGCAGGTGGCCTCTATGCAGTTTATTAATATTGTAGTCCATTCAGTAGAAGACATGAATTTCAGAGTTCACCTCCAGTATGAATTCACCAAGTTAGGCTTGGATGAGTACTTGGATGTAAGTATAGCTGTGACCTTTGGCTCCAATTGTAAGCCTTGATGTATTGCCTACCTTCAAGATACACTTCCGCCATGACTGAAGAACACTTCAAGCTCTGTACAGTCAAGTCCTGTAGTACTGGTGAAAGGGAACCTATCCGGGTGATGCAATCTGCCAGGGAAACTGGAGTCTTGAGCCCTTCTGGGACCTCAGGCTGCCTTCTGCCAGCAGCCTCTTAGTGCTGGAGTCAGACAACCTCTTGTAGCCTCGCTGTAGCTCTCCTCTGCTCTTGAGCTCTCTTTGGGTCAAGTCTCATTGCACCCTTCATCTGGGCTGTTGGGCAGTCCACATTTTTGGTTACTCTAGGGACCCCATCTGGGCAGGGGAAGTCAAACCAAGACTGCTAAAGAGTGATGAATAAATGCTTAGAGCATAAAAAAATCTTGAGGAAATGGACACTAGAGACTTCCTCATGGAGCCGTTAAATTCTGGTTAATGCATTTGTGGCTTTAGAAGTTCTACTTTTAAGTTCTTGGTTCCTGAAAAGATCTAAAGTTTCTCTTTCTCTGCCCCCCCCCCCCCCCCCCCCCCATGGAAGTTCCCTGTAGTTCTTCACCTAAAAAAATAGTGAGTTCATGTGAAAATCATAAATGGACTTGAATAGCTGTGTGTGCCCAGGAAGTGCCTCCTGTCCTTTGACTCTTGAGCAGTTTAGTTTTCCCCTAGGTATGGCAGTGGTCCCCTTGAATTTGAAAGGCCACTAGTGAGAGGGCAAGAATTTTTGACCTCAATTTCAAATCTGTTGCTAGCCCTGAAGAAGAGATAGAAGTACATCCCTTGGTTCTCTAGATTTCAGCCACCCAAACTTCATCAGGGCTGAAGCCAGGGAATTACAGCTTACTGCGAGGCAGAATCCTAGCATTGGTTACTCTCTGAGCTCATCAGCTGGTTTATCAGACCAGCCAGGCTGCCCATGGGTATACTGGCCTAATGTTGTCTAAGGACTGTGCTCTGGGAGAGGCGTGATGGATTTTCACTAAAGAGTGATTTGAATTGTTTTCTTATCTAAATAATCATGAATATCTTTGACAGACTATGGTATTGAGAGGTTTTTCCTGCTCTGTGGTCAAGGTTTCTCTATCTTCTTTCCCTACATGCCCTAGGAGTGGCAGTATTTGAGCGGAAATTGAGTGTATAGATGGCTCATGGTATTCTGGATTCCATTTTGTGATGGTGGTACTGAGCCCCTTCAGGTCAAGGCTGTGATGGCAAATCCTAACACATCAAGCAGTGCCTGTTACTCATTGTGTACTTCGTGAGAAAACCTTCTTAGTGGCTTTCTCATTTCCCTTTCTAGGCTTCACCCTTATTCGGATGTCTTTTTCAGTTCATACCTCCTGAACTAAGATGGAACATACTCGCTTTAGAGCAAGCTATGTTGAAGAATTCCAGATTAGACCTAGGAGCAAATCCATCTTCCTGACAATTTATGTAGAGCCTAACTCCTCGGAAAAGTTGAAGATGTTTCCAAAACTCTGTATTTCTTTCATGTTTTGGTCTGTCTGTTCTGGACCCTGATAGAGGTGGTTAGAAGATGAATATTATAAGCACATAATAAATACTTCATTAGTTTACTGAAACTCAGCCTTGTAAGTAGCCATTGATTTGTTCAATAAATATTTATTGGTGTCATCTGTATGCCAATATTATTCTAGCCACTCATCTCCCCCAGGGGAACTCAGAACTTAGGTTACTTATAAGGAAGATTCATAGGTTACCTTGACCTCCAATTTCACCTTAAAGCTGGTTAACTTCCTTTGGATGCCTGGGTCTGTAATGCAAAGAGTGGAGGAAAGCTGCCTGATCTGTGCTTTGGGAAGCCCTGGACTCCTTATGCTGGGGCAGTATCTTAGGCAAGTTCTCATGGAGGGCAGATTCTAGCAGTTTATACTAAAGTAAGCCCATCCCCCCAGCTGCTACTTCAGTCTTTATCCCTGTCTTCTCCACTTCCCATCCAGCCTAATCCTAATGGGAATTACCATCTCTCCCAGACAAATCACACCTACTCTAACCACCTCTGCACACAGATGCCTCCCAAATTTGTGTTGCTTGGGACTGTAGCCCCTTTCAGAAGCTGCTCTTAATTTCTCCATTGTCCGATTTCACCTGTTTCAAAATGTTTCAGTTTGGAATAAGCCTACATGGGGACTGTATCTTTAGGGAGAATTAGGGAGGAAATGTGTATATATTTGGGAGAAGGTGTTCATCGTAATGTGATGGTACCTTCTTAGATGAACACTGTGTAATTCTCTTGAGGAGGATGCTACATCAGACCCTCTCTTGGAACAGATTGGACTCTTTGGAACAAATAGGCTGTTGTATCGTTAGGCTCTGTGTCCACAGCTGTGTGAACACCACCCTCTCTTGTGTTTTGGTTTTTAGAAACTGAAGCACACTGAGAGCGATAAGCTGCAAGTGCAGATTCAGGCTTACCTGGACAACGTGTTTGACGTGGGAGCTCTCCTGGAAGATGCTGAAACCAAGAATGCGGCCTTGGAGAGGGTGGAGGAGCTGGAGGAGAACATTTCTCATGTAACTACATGTTGGGAAAGGAAAAACTGGCTTTGTGTAACTGGGTGCCCAGCAGAATGAGTGGTAGCCATTCTGGCAGTACGGGGAAGGATTTAGAGCACAGGGATGAACTGCAGCTTGAGGTCGAGAGCTGCCAAGAGCCACTTGGGGTTCTTTCAAAGAAGGCATGTTTGTTACTTAAAACTAAAGGGAACCTGTTGCCTTGCCTTAGCTCACCTGCTCAGTTTCTGCTGAGCCCAGATATCCCGGCCCTCTTACTTACGGACACCAGAGGATGAGGTGATGGGTGCCACATAGAGGGGAAATGGAACTTGAACGTGTGAATTTGGGCTGATGTGAAAAAGTCTCTTAGCCTCCTATTCTCCGAATATGTCATTCTCCGAATATGTCTTCTACCACATGTGTTCACACAAGCCCATGGAGGATGGGTTCTAGCACTTTGTGCTAAAATAAGCCCTGCAGCTAATAGACCGCTATCTGTGTCTTCCCAGTCTCCCATCCAGTGTCCCTCGGTGGAACTACCATTGCTACCCAGACAAGATACCATGCACTTCAACCTCTTTGGAAGTTTGGATTTATTTTTTCTTTAAAGTTTGTTTATTTATTTGAGAGAAGGGGGAAAAATGAAAAGGAACAGAGGGACAGGGGAACAGATGATTCAAAGTGGGCTCCGCACTGACAGCACAGAGCCCAATGCGGGCTCGAACTCCTGAACCATAAGATCATGACCTGAGGTGAAGTTAGATGCTTAACCAACTGAGCCACCCAGGTGCCCCTGGAAGTTTGGTTTGATGTATCAGTAACTTATATTTTCACTCCTAGTCTTCTGAATAGAAGTCATGTTCTACCGAATGTGTCCCCCCAGGCCCATGGATAGGGTGATCTTGTTTCTTCATGATGCCCGTCTTCCTAGTCCTGCCTTACGGTTACTCATGTTCGGTAAAAATTCATTTCAGCTACAGGCATTTTCAAGGAAATGAGTGAGCACTCCCTTAAAACCTCTTCTTTGAGGAGTATCCTGTTGGTAGCACATGAACTCCAGCTCAGGGCAGGGGCTCACTTTTTTTTTTTTTTTTTGAGGGATTTTTCTTACCACAGACTAAATTGAATATGAGTCTAAAGGCCTTCAGAGATTGTCCTTTTGTTCATCCATTAAGCAGATACTTGAATAGCATAAGAATGAACAGAAAAATGATGCTTCTTAAAGACCTAAGCATTGTGAGGACCAGATTCTTTTGTTGAATTCTGCATGACCGTGTCCTTGGCTATAATTGAATTGTCTCTTTTTAGAGCCATATTTGTTTTTCCATTTGAATGGCCCACTTATTTCTCTCTATATTTTCTTAGTTGAGAGTATCATGTGTGCTTGATATGCCCTTCACCTTTGTCCCTCATCTGAAAATGGGCCCTTCATGGCCGTGGTTAGGCCAAGTTGGTGAGCCAGCTGTTCGCCCCCACCTTTGTTAAGTGCCATCCTGACCTGCATGGCCGCTTGTCTAGGAAGGGCATGTATCGGCCTTCCCCTTAAAGATTTGTATCCTGTTCTGAACCTGATCAGCATTTTAACCTCCACCCTTCCTCCTCACCTTGCCTCCCTGGCTTTCTTTACTTGTTTTCAGTGAGATGCGAGGCATCCAAAGTCATTCACTTTCAGAGTCTTGGGGGAAGAGCAGTTACTTAACACATGGCTCCCACTGTCTTCCTCTTGAAGCCTCAGCCAGCCCCGCAGAACTGTACTCACATAACCCACTTTGGTAGCAGGCCGCCTGTTTGTTTGAACTGCCCCTCCAATTGACTTGTATTATTTGGGTTAGTTTGGGTCAAAATGAGCACTATTCTTCTTTAAAAGCTGGTGCTCTGTAATAACAGAACCAAGTTTTCAGGACTGATACCTTTCAAAAGCTTGTGCCTAACGGCCTTTTCGTAGGGAAGGAAAGGTGAACTTCCCCGCTTGCCGTGCCTCCTGCTCCCTGCCCTTGCCAGCCCCTGTGGAAACTGAGGGAGGTACACTGTGTATGTTGAAACACTAAGGAGCTGACATATGGGTTTTATTAAGGATCGTCTATAAATTATTAATTCCTATTAGAAACAAATAGGTATTCAGAATCATATTATAAATATTCACGTTTCCAGAAAAACAGCTGGCGGAACACATGCAGGACTCTGGGCCCCGTTAGAGCTCCACTTTCTGAGCACCGAGGACCTGATGCGAATGGTCGTGTGTTGTGGTGGTGACACAGCTTCCCTTTTAAACCTTTGCAGTTGTCTGAAAAGCTGCAGGACACGGAGAACGAAGCCATGTCCAAGATCGTGGAACTGGAAAAGCAGCTGATGCAGAGGAACAAGGAGCTGGATGTCGTTCGAGTGAGTGTGCTGACGGCAGCCGCCCAGACGGGCATTGTGGGGAAGGTGTTCCTGCTCTAGTAGAACGTGGAATATATTCATGTCAGAGGAACGCACTGATGTAACGTATTTATTGGAACCATTTCAGAGGCGATACTCAGATGAGAAGTACACATAGTTAGGGATGGATACACATGTGTTTGCAATCAGATGTTGGGGGCTCCATACTTCCTTATCACAGTTTTCAAGAGCAACAATATTTTCCCATCTGGACGGGTCTGAGTTGATTCAGTGGATCACCCATTTGCTTGGAAATAAAAACACGGCACGGATTTAATTCATGCCACTTATTTATTTTTACTAGGACTTGGGCTTCTTTGTATTTTTTTGCTTTGCTTCTACTTGAAACCAGATTTGGTGGTTGCCGTGGAAACAGTGAAATCACAACACAGGCGAGACCTAATGTCATTCACCAAAAAAATTTAACAAAGAGAGAGAAAAGGCAAAGCAAAACCAATCCATTTTATTATCAGATGATCCCAGCTATTTTATTTGGCCTTAGCATTGTTTTACCTTACGTGTCAGGTTTTTATGGAGTGCCATCCGTGTGTTTAGAATTGTACAGAACATAAAATCACCAACATGCCTGGAGGGCTTTCCGGCAAATGGCTTGCCCCTACACCATCGTTGATGAAATGGCACATTTTCCGCGATGCTTATCATGTCTGTGTGTGTTGCGTGATATTCTGACATGTCCTACAGTTAACTCTAGGAAATTTATTTTTTGGCACGCCGTCGAGACAGAGTTGTAGCATATGGACTCAATTCAAGTCAGACTCTCAGATTATTAATAATAGACAGGGTGTGAAGAATGTTTCCCTGCCTGCTGGAGGTTTGTGGTGAGAGATCACATGTACAAGACCCAGCACGTAAGTTCCAGAAAATCCTTTCCCTGAAACCTTGGTGAGCCCCTTAGAAAAGGAACGGGGACAGCCTTTAAATGGAAAGTTGTAACTTTTTTGTTTTCTGCTAAAAGCCTAGACAAAAATAAGTAATTAGTAGAAGGAAGCTTTGGCCTGTTGTGTGAACTGCATACCAAAAGGACAGTGTTACAATGATTGCTGTCCTGAGCTTGGTCAAGAGGGCATTGTGAAGGCCAGAGAAATCCATTCAAGAACAGTCAGCCCCTGGGTATTCATGAGTAGATTCTTCTCTGCTTTGCAGATTTTTAATCCCAGTCTGACTTCTATCCAAATCTGACTTAGGGCCTTTTGTCTACTGTTAGCCGATATGTGTCTAGGAGTTACAAATGAATTTTAAAACAAGTAAAAGGAAAACACGGTGCCTCACCAGAATACCCCCAGGGTATTCCAAAGTCAGCTATAAAATTATTTTTGGATCGTCTCTGCCTTGCTCCTCTCCACCTGCAGGGAAGATTGAGTTAGCTGTACTTAAGAATGGAAAGAACCATACTGGGGATAACAATTGCTGGTACATATTGCATGCATTACCAATGAACACTTGAGAATGAATAGGACTTTTATAGGAGGCTGAGCGCTATAGAATTCTTAGGTATATGTCAGTATCCTTCTTTTTCATTTTTTGGGGCATTAAAAAATTTTGTTTTCAACATTTGTTTAATTTTGAGGAAATGACAGTGTGAGCAGGTGAGGGGCAGAGAGAGAGGGAGACACAGAACCCAAAGCAGGCTTCAGGCTCAGAGCTCCGAGTTGTGACTGCAGAGCCCAACATGGGGCTCGAACTCTCGAACTGCAAGATCATGACCTGAGCCAAAGTTGGATGCTCAACCACCTGAGCCAACCAGATGCCCCTTGTTTGGGTATTTCTTTGATCCTCAATTTGCCAATCTGATGGTAGTATGGATGTCACATGAAGATAGACTCTTGACCGTGAACTCTTTTGCAGGAAATCTACAAAGATGCAAATACCCAGGTTCACACATTAAGGAAAATGGTCAAAGAAAAAGAAGAAGCCATTCAAAGACAGTCTACCCTGGAAAAAAAGATTCATGAACTGGAGAAACAAGGGACCATTAAAATTCAGAAGAAAGGGGATGGGGACATCGCCATTCTGCCAGTTGTGGCTTCTGGCACGTTGTCCACAGGGTCAGAGGTGGCCATGGGTAACTTCGTGGGACCAGCAGTGGGGGTCGCCTCCTCAGGCCCCCTGCCCCCTCCTCCCCCACCACTACCTCCATCATCAGACACACCTGAAGCAGGTGAGAAACCTCCTTGGGAGAAGTGAGGGTAGTGTCTGGGATGTTTGTTTTTCTTATTTTACCTGCTGTCCGTTTATGTACTTTGCTTCTCTTGCATTTTCTTTTGCTCACTGATTTTAAAAACTTCTTACATTTTGAGGTTTAGGTTATAAAGCTTCATTTTACATATGCTGCGGTATATTCTTTATTTCTCAATGAGGAGATTTTATAGTCCTTGAAAAAAAAATCCTGTGTCCTTTTCACAATTTTGTTTTTGGATTCTTTATGTGCAGGTGACATCCTACAGGTGAAACTGTTCTCCTGTTTTGAAAGGCAATTTGTTTCTTCTTTTTTTGCTAGTGCAAAATGGCCCAGTAACGCCACCTATGCCACCACCGCCCCCTCCCCCTCCCCCACCGCCTCCGCCGCCTCCCCCTCCCCCGCCCCTCCCGGGTCCTGCAGCTGAGACTGTGCCAGCTCCTCCTTTACCTCCCCCCCCTCCTCCCTCTGCACCCCCGCTGCCTGGGACGTCCTCACCCACAGTGGTTTTCAACTCAGGACTAGCAGGTAAGAGCACGGAATGGAGTCCCAGGTACTTACTTGTGCAAGAAATACTCATTTGTGTTCCCTCTGCAGGCCTTAAAGCCTTTCTTTGAGAGTCCAGCCAGGTCTCTTGCAATCCCATGTATCTCCGCTATATCATTCCTGCTAAGTAGCCGGTAAAGACGAAGTTATGCACAGGAGGCATTTTTCTCTGAGTAGCTGCTGTTCCACTCTATCTAGCAGGGAGTTCTGATTCTCCAGTCTTCCCACCTTCCACTCTCCCCAGCTAGGAAAGGGAAGGGAAACTAGTGCCCTTCCTAGGGATCAGTGCATTTTCACGGGTTCATCAAACACCTGTGGACATCTGTAGTAGTCAGAGCTCTGACAGAGAGTCCTTCTGGTGCCCTCAGCTCTGTTCTTGGAAGGTACTTGCAATGCTGTTTTCAAGTGGAGAAAATCCCTCTCTGTGTAATTACCCGATGCAGGTTTCCAGGCATTTCTTCTGTGCATTTGAAGATACCAGAATTCACTATAGTGGAACTGAAGCTTCAAGGGAAGATGTTGCCAAGAACAGGATCTCTTCCCTACCTTGAAATGCTTCCATATAGCCTGTGCTGCCCTCCTGCTAACCAGGGTAGAAGGCGGCACCCCTCACCAGAAATAAAACGGGGCATGTGGGGGGTGAGAAGAGAGCGTCGTTCTAATGCCTTGAAATAGAAGTTCTGATTTCTGACTCATGCAAGTGACTTTTTACTCTTTTCTAAAATTCTCCAGCCGTTTTCTCAGTCAGGGAGGATTTCCCCTGGCATTTTGAACTGCTCTGAGCTTTGCCGTGTCATCTCTGTGACGTCAGACAGTTCTGCTTCCTCCTCTACATCTGTCCCTGTGTGAGGTCTCTTATTTCTGATGCAGAACTACCACTCTATTGCGTATGCTAGGTCCCAGAGCCTTTGTCCAGTGTCCACATACATGCCTTCTCAGCTGTAAGAGATTTCCAGACTGCCTGCTCCACCCCTCAGAGTGTCCTATCAGCAGCCGTACTAGCCAGCCATTAGGGCGAATTCATCCAAGTGACTCAGAACAACCTCCTTATTTCACATCGAATCTGTCATATTTACTTCCACCCCAACTTCCACAAAATTGTCAGAGAAACAAATAAGATGCCTGCTGAAAGTAATATTCACAGTAATCCAGTGATTTAGTTCTACCTTGCAAGGTGACCTCTGTCTACTACTTCCTTCTAGAACTTTTAATGCTTCTGAAGGACAAAAGTTGAAAGTGTCATCATGGAAATGTTGGGTTTTGGAATGTAAGCAAACCAAAACCTCTCGAGAAGCCCCAGGAATCCATTCCATCAACAGGCTGTTCTCAGGGACTGAGCGTGAAAACCTGTAACTGGCATGTGCAGCTGGTTTGCTGATGAGGCTCTCCTTGTGGCGCCCTGAGAGTGCTCACTGTGAGACGTGGCTGTGGCGGGCTGTTCCTGTGGTCCTGCTTCTTTCTCCTTGGCACCAGCTCCGTGTGATGGAGCCTCTACTTGCATTCACTAGAGCTCTCTAGAACTCCATCTGCCTTGGCAGAGCGAAAGGGCCACGGGGCTGAGATGGGCAGGTCCAGGGCTCCGTTCGGTAGAAGGCTTGTCCTCTCTGGTTAACTTTTTTGCCTGGGTTCTTCCCACTACATAATCTTAAAAACTTGCAGGCTCCTCTGATTATCTCAGCTATAGTGTGTGGAACTCTCTGTTGGACTCATGACCACCGCTACCTTCAGGGTTCTACAGTTGGAAGTTGTTCCTTATGGGTCTTACATCATTTTTAGAGGACCATGTGTGGGATTTAAGAAACTTCTTTTGAGTGTCGTAAGCATCCCTTTATCGACTACAAGATGTTCTGTTTTACAAGATGTAAGGATTAGAAGATGATTATGTAGCACATTTTGTGAGGTGTGTTGCCAGTGTGTTGGGTAACTTTCTCCTTGGAGTCCAGAGGCCAGACAGAATCAGAATCTCCCAGTGGGGCCACGGAACAGAGCTGAGATGATCTACCAAGGGCTCCCGGAACCCAGAAACCTGTGACATTGCTAGGCCCTGAGATCATGGGCAGCAAGATGGCCTATCCCTTCAACAGGCAATGAGCAGGTGTGTGTTTGGTGGCTGAGACAGGGGACCTGAACAAGGTCCTCTAGTTTTATCTAGTTAAGTTTTCTTTGCATTTTATAGACAAAACATTTAGTGTGGAATCTATATTTGAAGCGTAAGGCTTCTTCCTCAAATCGGTGACAGAGCAGTCCGGTCCCGTGTCCCGCTTCGGTCATCTGTGACAGACTGCTGGGCTCTCTCTTTGGGAGAACGTGCTTTGGAAGTTCACAATGAGAATTCGTACTTGGCTGATTATTTTTCATTAAATCATTGTTCATTTCTTCTGCAATACCTAGCACAATTCAATATGGCTGTTTGGGACCACTATAATGAAATCATTTTTTCCCCTCTCCTAAAAAGGATTACTTTTTAAAACAAAATAATAAGGGAGTCTTCAAGGCAGGCCTGAATGGAAATGAATTTTTGGCTCTGCGCTGCTTTGTGAAATGTATCCAAGAAGCATGAAATTCTCTGCTAAGGGTGCGTGAATTGCTGAGTGGCTTGACTCTAACCATATCTAATTTTTTTTTTTGTATTTTCTTTGTTCTCTCTGCTTCCACAAAAGATGGGCCAATCAAGCTTTTCTGTAGGTTGCTCCTCACTGAGTGTGTTGAGTGTTTGCCATGCGTCCCTGTTGGTCACACTGTGCCTTGACGTGTTTTCACTCCATCTTACCTGAATCATTGCATTTTGACCCTGTGTCCGTGGGAAGTCTCGCTGTTGGCTGACTGTTGTTCCAGGTTTGCTCATACGTTTTAGAAGAAGAGCTTACGGCTCGGCAAGTAGACAGCCTGGATTTCATATGCCATATTCCTTTCCCCCTGAGAGAAAAGCAGGTTTTCCCCCTTTTAGTTTGTCATAGTTGGATCCAAGGCATCATCTATAGAAGGATTTTAGATTTATTCTGGGGGAGGAGGGGTAGTTGCTCCACAGAGCAGGGACAGACCGCAAGGTGCTGTGTTTCCAGGCCTTTCCCACTGGTCTCCGGCTCTCTCCATGGAACACCCACCACCACGTGAAGCCAGTGCCTTCAGCCCGAACACTGCAAGCACCATGTCATCATGGTCACCTGTAGGCCTCTCCTACAACCTTCCCCACACCCACCCTCGTTCATCGTTGGGAGTCAGGACCTCCTTTCTGAAGATAACTTGTTTTTGCCTGTGTTCTGATCTCAGGCTTATTCCTACTCTTGCTGATGAGTTAAAAGTAGAGTGGTTGCAGATACAATCACTTTTAGCGAGTGTCCTGAGGCCTGTGGTGTCTGTGGATGGATAGTGGAATCAAACGGCGCTCACCTGCCAGCTCAGATTGTGGAAAGATCCCCGTAGAGCTTTTCCTCTGCCTCCCCGTTTTCTCCCTCCATATTGCTCAAAAGGCCAGACCAGAGGAAGGTCTCTTTCTTTGTCCTGTGGAGGATGTGGGTTTTCCTGGGCAGTGTAGACCTAAGTGAAGTGCAGTGAGCAATCCAACACTGCTGGGCGGTGGAGCCTCAGGTGTCACGTGGTGGTAGAAAGGCCTGGTTTACAAAGACTGCGTTTCTGTACTCCTGCATGCTTTGTGTGGATTTATCAGATGACATTCCTGCTGTTGATGTGGCTTTCGAAACTCTGGAGGAATGGCAGGCAGCCAGGTGAAAGCCCAGTGTTCGTTGGCTTTATTTTGTTCTGCACTTCAGTTTTCTCCCTTACAGATGATGGCAGATAGCGAAGCTCCCAAACAGTGTGGTGGGTGTCCCGGGGTAGACTTAAGAAGGTACATATGTGTATAGCTAGATGGTTCCGGGGGACCGCTTTATGATGTGTACTTAATTAATGGAGTTTTTAATGAGTTTCCTTTTTTAGCTCATTTCCCCACAGTAAGAGGAGTTGGCGGCTCCTTACCCGACCCCTCGAAGATAGATCTCTTCCTCTCTAGAGGTTTTCTGTGTTTTTAATGGGCTCCTTGATACCTTCTAGTTGCATGTAGCTGACTCCTGGGGAGAACTTGCTCTTTAGTAAAGGGGGAAGGGACTGTGGCCTTTCTCAAAAAGCAGTACTAATCCTGATTTCTCAGTACCCCTTCTGTCATCTTACATATTTTCCATTTTGAGCTGTTCATGACCCTTGGTCTGGTTGGAATAACTCAGCCTGAATATAATCCCCATTGTCAAAATCGTCCACAAGAATGTGTTGCTTCTCGACATTACAGAAAGTCAGCCTTCTTGATGTTATGTTCCTGGTGGTGTGGACAGCCACTGCCTGCAGTCTCTGATCATCTTTTAAGATTGGTTGGGAAGTAATGTGTCCTAGAACCGAGAATTTAAGATTTCAGAATTTGACTCACACTCACCAGTGTCACTGAGCATTTGTCCTCTCTGCTGTCTGGTAACATCATTAATCCTTTTGCTCCCCAGTACTTCTGTCCTACACATTGTCTTAACATTGTGACTGTAATGCAGCAGTCCATTTGCCTGCATTAAAAAACAAACAAACCCCAAACCCTGGCTCTTAGACAACTTGACTACAGTGTTGCATCAGTCAACCAAATGATAAACCTCAAATTGCTGTAGCCTAAGCCACGTGTGAGGTTTTCTGTGTTTAAATACTTGGGCGCCCCTTGCTGGTGGTCCTCCAGTGTTCAAGGGTCATCTGCAAGGGTTACTCTCATTGTTCTTGAGAGTCATGGGATTTGGGTGGAATCTTAATTTCATCCTCTCTGACTTCTGTAGCTGTGAAAATTAAGAAGCCAATCAAGACGAAATTCAGAATGCCAGTTTTTAACTGGGTTGCCCTGAAGCCAAATCAGATCAATGGCACGGTCTTCAATGAAATTGATGATGAGCGGATTCTGGAGGTACCTTTCTCTGTTGGTTAGAAACTAGGGGCTCTCTCTGTGTGGCAAAGTTCAAATACGTGCTCTGCTGACCTGGACGTTTCAGCGATAAAATGCTGGTATTTTAAATCCCTTGATGTAAAGAAGAAAAGAAAATACTCTAATACAATAATATCAGAGAATAGGACACTATTTTGTAAGGTCATTTCAAAACTGTTTACGAAGTTGTGTTACTATGGAGTGGTTTTGATTATCTTCAATACATGCCACAAAATATGTATCTGACACAAGTCCTGTCCTTAATTTATAAAAGGGCATAAAAACCCTTTATTGAACTGTAAGTGAATAAGAACTCAATATTATTACATCCATTAGCTGGTTTGATCATTTTAGTCTGTGGTGGCTAGCCCTGCTAGGTAATTAGTGAAAGGCAGCTGAATTAGCCAGATGGGATCACTTCTCTACTTTAGCCCTTCATGGCTGTCTGTTTGGCCTAAGTCACGCTATAGCACAAATAGGAAAATAGAGCAAGCCTTGATCAAGGCCAAGTATTGAGTAGAAAAAGTTAAGTTCTTTGATGCTTCAGAAACTGTCAAAATGGTTGCCTGAGTTAATTTTTAAGTATAATCCAATTTGCCCATTTCATCCCTTTTTATTACTCCAGGATTTAAATGTGGACGAGTTTGAGGAAATATTTAAGACAAAAGCTCAAGGTCCTGCCATTGATCTTTCTTCAAGCAAACAGAAGATAACACAGAAGGGATCAAACAAAGTGACGTTACTGGAAGCAAATAGGGCCAAAAATCTTGCCATAACTTTGAGGAAAGCTGGAAAGACTGCTGACGAGATATGTAAAGCTATCCATGTGTAAGTGCAGGGCATTCTGGAAAGTTCGATTCTGGTAGATTTATAGGATAAAACTGAAAATAAGCAGGGGGTGAATTGGTAGGTACCAGAAATATTTCAGTCAGGGGGCAAGATTGAAGATAAGAGGTGGAGCGTTTCTTGATATCCACACACCAGAAATTCCCTTTGTTACGTATATGTGACTTCAGAGTTGCATGACATGCTGCCACCAAAGGAGTGGGCCAGCAATTCCCTTTGGGAGTGTTATATTAGAATGAAAATTATTGTAGAAGAATAACTGAATTGTGACGTCGTCATTTATTAACTTGGCCTGCTCTCCTATACACCTACAGCAATGCTTACATACAAGGAGTGGAGAATTGCCCATGCTAAGCAAAAGGAGAGACTGTCACTCTTCTCTTAAGCATCTGAATGTTCTCTAGAGTTGTTGAGTACAAATTTGATGGCATTTGTGGAATGATACACTTCATTGCCAGATGCAAATGGGATACAGATGCATCTTTTAATTCATAACAATAGGAATGTGATTCCTGTTTCTTTTAGCAACTTTCAGGAAATTTTAAACAAAGTTCAGTTCTTTTTTTTATCCTGGCACTGCAGAGAAGGCATTCGTTTTATTTGCTTTTCTACTAGAGGAATCTTTTGGCCCTTCTTGTGGTCATGATGACTTTCAAATATGATAAAGAACAAATGTTTTAGATGTGTTAGGAATGGGTTCATTGTAAATTGGTATTTCATAAATTTTGGTAAGAGATTCATGGAGGAGTATATGACCCTCAGAAATAATTTGTTCCTATTTCATGTCCTGAGTCAGGATCATAATCTAGTAATCTAGTATATCCTATACTCTGTTCTGATTTTTAATGTTGAAACGTGATATGCATTTTGGTTTCTAATCTGCATATACCTTATTTGTCTTGAGGATTAGATGTGACTGTATTATTTTGCCGGACAAAGTTTGTCCAGGGAAGAAAACAGACATAGCAAATACTTGGTTTGTTCAAATTGAGCATACCTCTAAAAAGATCTGGTTTATCTTCAAGAGATGTGTGCGTTTAAAAAGCATCCATTTTGTACAGGCATTTGGATACATTTTTTCCTACAGAAGAAAACATACCCCAGACTGTTGGTTTAATTGATACATATTAGAGTTTACCACGTATTTTGTGTATAATATTAATTTCCCTAATGAGCAGTATTCCATGTGCCTTAAAAACCATATCCTTGAACCACTTAACCATCAGATGTGTCAGCCTGCCTTTTCGCTCTTCCTACTGTCATTTGCTGTTGATTTCTAGAGACTTAAATCTATAGTAATAGCTACAAACTGAGCATGGTTATTGTGTAAGGTCTGGGTTCTCAGAAGGGAGCTATTTGTTGGACAGTCAGGAGCCCTTGCCAACTGGCATCTTTATAGCTCAGCTGTAGGCCTCGTCAACTCATTGCATTGGTGGTTTATGAACAGGACCAAATGGTGGTGTGGTTGAAGGGGTAGGAGGTGTTCTCTCTAACACTGACATGTCCACATCTGTCTTCAGATTTGACTTGAAGACATTGCCTGTAGACTTTGTAGAATGTTTGATGAGGTTCTTGCCAACTGAGAATGAGGTGAAAGTGTTCCGGCTCTATGAGCGGGAAAGGAAGCCCCTGGAGAACTTGTCAGATGAAGACCGGTTCATGATGCAGTTCAGTAAAATCGAGAGACTCATGCAGAAGATGACCATCATGGCCTTCATTGGGAACTTTGCAGAAAGCATTCAGATGCTGACTCCTGTGAGTGGACCAACTCTGGCAGGGGAGAGTGTCCAGAGAGATACAGAATCATTTTTTCCTTTTAAGTCTCTTCCAGTATTGCACATAGCGTCATGGGCTCTAAAGACTCCTTCCCAGAACTTTTTAGATTGTATTTTTATTTTGGCATTTTTTTTTTTCCCACATTGCTGATGCCAAGTAATGTAAAAATGGTGGATTTCCATATTCCATATTGCTATTCTCCTCCATAGAGTGACATTTTCTGTGTCTAAAGATGTCCTCTGGGTTTCCACTTCAGTGCATAGGACCAGGAAAGTCATTTCCTCCAACTTGTTCTTCTCCTGAAGATACCAGTCTTCTGGCTAGATTGGCAAGCCTGAAAACATTACTTTCATTTCTAAAAATGACCCCATATTTTTAATAGGCTTTATTGGCTTTCTTTGGAAGCATTATAAATTTACCACAGGACTCTTCTTCCTTGGAGATTGGTTATAGTGCACTGTGGTGATGGGGAAATAAGAGCCAACCATCTCTTGTCCCTTTGTGTTAATCTGGTAGAGACTTATTAATATTATAAACATAAATATCATAAATACTTCTTTCCCAGTTCTGTTTCCAAATAAACTTTTGTTAATTACTGATTACAGTAGCATGTCTGTTCAGCACATGTTCTGAGAACTTATGGAGGGTGATTGTATTCCTTTGGTGTCTTGTTTTCACTCTTGGACAGCTCCATTCATTTAAAAACCTGTTGTCTTACACGATTTGAGGAGGTGGGCAGGGAATTGAGTTCTGCCCAAAAATGCTGTGGACTCTGAGGTCCGAGTCCCATTGGATACAGATTTTGTGATATGACTTGTCTTCTTACTTCAAATTCTTTGAAAGAGGAGCTTGCATATGATTATGTGGTTACCTAAGACCTAGCAGGACAAGTTAAATTTGTTTTGTTGAGGAAAAATAGAATCTCTGCATTTAAGGTCTAAATGCAGGTCTGTTTTCTTCTGTGTTAAATTTTTAGCTCCCAATTAGAGTTTCTTATTTTTAACATGTCTTTTTTTCACCCCCTTCCTTCCTTTGAATGGAATCTAGCAACTGCACTCAATTATAGCAGCATCTGTCTCTATAAAGTCATCCCAGAAACTCAAGAAAATCCTAGAGGCAAGTAAAGTTTTCTTTGTATACATGTAGGGAAGAGCTGACTTGTCAGCCACATTCGTTGGCCTGGGAATAGCTGGGATGCTGTACTGATGGGCTTCTCTTCTCTCTCTCTCTCTCTCTCTCCTTTTTTTTTTTTTCCAGATTATCTTGGCCCTTGGAAACTATATGAATAGCAGTAAGCGAGGAGCAGTTTATGGATTTAAACTTCAGAGTTTAGATCTGGTGAGTGGACTAAAAGAAATATAAGAGCTATAGAAGGGACAAAACAGCTGGCACAGATCAAGTCCCAGAGTGGAGAGTCTGCTCTTGGAAGTGGGGTCGGATGTTTGGATGAAGGTTGTCTGCTAGGTGGAGGATCAGTTGGTACACATTTTCTGGAACATCATTTGGCAGCAGGCGCTTAAAATCTTAAAAATAATCATGCCCTTTGACCCAGTGTTTCCATTTCTGGGACTCTTTCCCCAAGAATCTGAATTATGGATGCTATATTTATTTTATAATTGCAAATAGCAATAATGTAAAGATCCAACATTTTGGAAAACTATTAAATTGAATAGTAGTTAATATGATGAACTATTCTTTAACTCTTAGAATGTTTGTGAAGAATTTTCAAAGAAATAATTTTGTGGGACACCTGGGTGGCTCAGCTGGTTATATGTCTGGCTTTAGCCCAGGTCATGAGCTCAAGGCTCGTGAGTTTGAGCCCCGCGTTGGACTCTGTGCTGACAGCTCAGAGCCTGGATCCTGCTTCAGATTCTGTTTCCCTCTCTGCCCCTCCCCCACTTGCACTAGTGTTCTCTCTGTCTCTCTCTCTCAAAAATAATTAGGGGTGCCTGGATGGCACAGTTATTTAAGCGTCTACCTTTCACTCAGATCATGTTCTCGTGGTCTGTGAGTTCAAGCCCCACGTTGGGCTCTGTGCTGACAGCTCAGAGCCTGGAGTCTGCTTCACAGTCTGTGTTTCTCTCTTTCTGCCCCTCCCCCACTTGTGCTCCCTTTCTTTCTCTCTCTTAAAACAAATAAACATTAAAAAAAAAAAACTCACCCCACCCCCCCCCAATGGAAAAGAGTATGCTATTTTTCAGCGTCCTCTGACTTATATGGGCAGGACTAGGAAAAATTCCTACATGGAACCTTCTCCCCCAAGGCTGGGGGAACGTGGCTTCCACATGAGAAGGTTGGGCTCTGCTCAGGCAGAGTCCTGAGCCCTAGGGAGACATGGCTGTTTGGTAACGAGTGTCCAGTTGTCCCACTCCTGGCCCCAAGAGGGTCATGTGTGGTAAGCCCAGCTGTTTTGGGTCCTAGAGGCCGGGCGACAAGAGTTGAACTAAAAATGGGTGGACTGCAGTGAGGGAGCCCTGCCACGCAGGGGTACCTGCGTATCACCAGCCCCACGCTCACCCCTCTGCTCCTTCTTTTTAGAAAGCCCTCATAACGGGGGCCTCCCACTTCTAAGTCAGGGGAAGTTGTTTGGCAGATGTGGGCTGGGGTGGTTTTCTGTGGGCAGAGATGTGTGAACAGTCTTCGATGTTGGAGTCCTCCTGGCCTTGAGCACGGCCCCTGGTGGAGAAGCCCCATGGTCACTTACAAGTCAGTGGGATGGTTTAGAGGAGAACACATCCAGGTTTGGCCCTCCTGTGGGGGCATTTGTCATCCACTTTGGGGCGCCGTCCTGTTACTGAGTGGGAGGAGATCATCTGGTGGACAAGCTTCCCATGCTCTTCTACCCTAACCCCTGTTCCTTTTCTTTTCAGCTCTTAGATACAAAGTCAACAGACCGAAAGCAGACCCTGTTGCACTATATTTCAAATGTTGTGAAAGAAAAATATCACCAAGTGTCCCTGTTTTATAATGAGCTTCATTATGTGGAGAAAGCTGCTGCAGGTACCTGATTTTGGCTATTTGTTACTCTTGGATATTGAATGCCTTTAATCATGGATGGTGGGGGAGCCATTCCCTGCCTAACCACTCTTCGGAACTCCTCGGAAAAGCAAGGGTGATAACGTCAGAAGCTCTTGGCTGGAGCGTCTGGGCCGTGGTGTTTCCCACTCCTGCAGAGCTGTAACAAACAGGGACATAAAGGGAGACCCTTCTGTGTCCTCTCTATAGAGTCTGGTCTCTGGACCTTGGGTAGCTTTTCTCTTCTGTTCGTTGTCCTTCTTAGTCTCTTGTTGTCACTTGAAATACGAAAACAAAAATCTAAACAACAACCTTCTTCCCCCCCCCCCCCGCGCCAGTTTGGTTTTGTGCTGTCCCATTGCTCAGGTGTGGTCGTTCCAAGCATTGTGCCTTTAGCCTGAACGGGAGCTCAATTATTATAGTACTTTTGGTTGTTATTTTGCTACAGCAGTTCTACATTTTCTCATTTAAATCATCAGTGATTCTGAGACAGCTGGGCTATAATGGGTTTGTGACAGTCTCTGCATGGTATAGATGAGAAAACTGACATTTTTAGAGGTTAAGTATCTCGCCCAAATCACATGGATAGAACATGATAGAAACAGGACTAGAACGCATGTCTTCTGTAGTGTACTGTCTTACGTGCCGTGTCTTCTCCAAAGGCTGTTAGGCTAGAAAAAGGAGCAAGATGCAGATTAACCCCGGAGTTGCTTGCATACTCTGATTCTCACATTGGGATCTTGAGCCCTGAGGAACTAAGGCGTCTATTATAAATTCATATTCCTGAGGCCTATTTCAGACAGGGACTTTTTCTGACTTTCTCCAACTCAGGGGCTGCTGCTTTGGTGTTGTTACTATAGAGCATTCCATACTGTTGCATTCACGATGGAACAGATTTTATTATAACAATTTGCATATTTGTTTCAACCTGTGAATGTATGGGTTTTATCTTTATATTTATTTATCTTTATAATTCCCTTAGCCCCTAGCAAATTGAATGGGGGAGTACGTAAATGAGCGAATGAATGACATGAGGAGGCACTGTTAGCCGGGATAGATCCTGGGGACGCCCTAGCGGAGACTGAGAGGCGGGTGGGAATGATCCTTTGTGAAGGGCTGTGCAGTGCAGGCCGTGGAGACCCACTGGGGGCACGGGTCTCACTGAGGCAGTTCCTAGGATTTCTCTTCTGGCGGAGTGATTTTCCTTCTTTCAGGTTTCTTTGCCTAAATTCGGGATTGTTTAGCATCACAATTATAATTAAGAGAAATGTTTCATAAAAAAAATTTTTTTTGGCCATTTTATTTGGCCCAAGTGAGATTTCCCAAAAGTGTCATTGGATAAAAAAATCGGTAAGGAGGTGGAGAGATTGAGGAGCTCTGGCCGGATTGTTTTCTGTGTCCTCTCCCTGGTAGCCAGGTGAGCTGACATGGATTCTTTACACCTTTGCTCCTTTGCTTATCCAGGGAACCTTTCTGAGGCCCTGCTGTGGACGTGGCCCTTTCCTAAGCATTGAGGAGTCAAAGTCGAATACGGCCCATGCGAGTCTAGCAAGGGAAAAACATAACTGGCCTGTTCTGTAGTGCAGCGGGGAGCCTGAGGTCGGGCCGGGTCTTCCTGCAGGAGGCTCAGGAACGTACCTGGGAGGGTGGCCAGGCTGCAGATGGAAGAGGTTCATGCTAATGAACCCTTCAGGAGCAGGGTTGTTTGACAGAAAGAAACTGTCCAAAGTGGCTTGGTTTCTAGTGGTCAGTAGTAACTAAAGTTCAGCGTTTAAATGCTACCCCCTGCTGGAGAGCCACAGAAATGTAAAAGAGGTCAAGATCTTGGGTCCCCGCACAGTTACACAGTTAGGGAACCTCTGAGCCTACAGATCAACCAGCAGCTTAGCATTTCCTATGAGAGAAATGGAATAGTTGGACATAATCCCAGGATCTGGGGCCCATGGTTGTTACCTGAGCTCCATTTCTGCCACCTTCTAGCCGCACAACCGAGGGCCACGTAACCTCTTTATGCTGCCTTTTTTGTTGTTGGCAAATTGGGCTAATAGTGCAAATGAATTAGTGCATAGATAGAAGTTAATGCAGTGCCCGGAAATGAGCATTAATAAATTATTCGTATTGTACAGTCTCTGCTCTGAAAGCTGGAAATTAGAGCTAAGGCCATTGAGTATAACCCTAGGAATGCACCGAGAACCTGGGTTAGCAGCCAGACTCACTGTGGTTTTGGTATTCACGGGGACGTTGCTGTCTCTCCTTCAGTCTCCCTTGAGAATGTTTTGCTGGACGTCAAAGAGCTCCAGAGAGGCATGGACCTAACCAAGAGGGAGTACACCATGCACGACCACAACACGCTGCTGAAGGAGTTCATCCTCAACAATGAGGGAAAACTGAAGAAGCTGCAGGATGACGCCAAGATTGCACAGGTAAGGACCCTTGCCCTGGAGACTCATGAAGAAGTGACTGGGTCCCTTCAGTGCACCCGGGTGCTGGTCCTGGTTTTGGAGGAAGATTGCCCTCGGTCTACTGAGGGTAGATTTTCTTATGTAACTGATGATTCGTGTGGGTGACAGTTTTCTGAATACTGTACAGAGACGTGCTCCTGCTCTGCTCGTTGTCCTCTTCTAGCTTGGAGTCTTTGCCTCTTCTCTAGAAGCCCCGTGCCTCTCCCCTTCCACTCCTAGGCCTCCTCTGTGTCAGTCCTGTATTCATGTCAGCCAACATGTGTCATTCCTGTGCTTCGCAAAACCCTGTTCCTGCCCAGTATGCCGGGTGTCTGTTGGCCTTGACCTTGAAATCTTACACTGCACTGGGGGTTAAGTGTACACATTTGAAAAACAGCCAGAACAGACTGTGCATGCCATCATAGAAGGGGAGGCAGAGGTTTGTGGGAACTCAGAAAGCAGACGTGGTGCAGTGGCTCCCAAATGAGGCTGTCTTGTGCGAGGAAACCGTTTTAAGTGGAGACCTGAGTGTACCTAAGGTGGGAACACGGTAAGGAGCATTGAAGCAGTGAGGTGGGGTTGGCGTCTGAATGACTTCTAAGATCCCTTCTAACTCACTGGCATCAGGGAGTCCTGCTACGGCCTTAGGAAGCTCTCGAAAGGGGTAGCTCCATGTTTGGGTGACAGTGTGCACAAGTGCAGAGGGTCCCAGTGATAAATTCCTGTGCAGCACTGTCACCGTCTTCTGGTCACCTTTGCCTAGGCTTTCAGAAGAAACGGGAGTCCCTAGAGAGTTGTGGGGGAAATGAGAGGGGCAGATGAGCTGTGGTGGCATCTGGATCTTCCCTGCTGCTTTGCTGCTGCTCTTCCCCCAGTGTGTCAAGTTCAAATGCTTGACCTTATGAAACTCAAGAGAAGTTTGTTTCTTTACAGGACGCTTTTGATGATGTGGTGAAGTATTTTGGAGAAAACCCCAAGACAACACCACCCTCTGTCTTCTTTCCCGTCTTTGTCCGGTTTGTGAAGGCCTATAAGGTAACTAGGAGCATGGGGTCCTTTAAAGTCTTCCTTGGCATTATTTCTCAAACGGGTTGTCCCCCCAGAGCTGTGTCTGCATCTCTGCAGCTATGCAGGAGGCTTCCCCTGTTGCTGTAGGCAGCAGATCTCAGAGGTCAGCACGAGTCAGCTGTCTCCAGTTCTGTGGAGCTTGTCAGTCTGTGAGGCTCCGTTTCTCCAGCCAGCCAGGCCTGGGGCTCAACCAGAAGACAAAAGCTTTTGGCTGCCCTTTGGGGCACACGAGACACTCCGGGACCATTACTTCCTCAGTGACTGTTCACTCTTGTGGGCAGGATGAAGGACTTAGAAACTGCAGGCCTCCTGTGCAGTTGTTGGATGGGCCAAGGGAGTAGCCTCTGGCCTGTGGCAAGGGCTCTGGAGCTGAGGTCAGGGACAGCCTGCTTGGGTGTGTCCTGCCTAGCCCTTCAGGTCATCTAGTGTGGACTGAAAGATGGCGCTAGGGAGGATGGTTACTGTCTGTTTCCTCATCTGGACCAATAATGGCCCTTCCTTTCTTTTTTTCTTTTTTAAAAATTTCTTTCTTTTGAGAGAGAGAGGGACGCGACACACAGCCTGAGGGGGTGGGGGGTTTAGGGGCAGAGAGAATCTCAAGCAGGCTCCATGTTGTCAGCGCAGAGCCTGATGTGGGGCTTGAACTCATAAACCATGAGATCATGGCCTGAGCTAAAATCAAGAATAGGATGCTTAACTGACTGAGCCACCCGGGCACCCAGTGGCCCTGCCTTTAAATAGGACATTTGACCCAGTCCAGGGCTATAGTCTTGAAAAATCATGTTACCCAAAGAGGCATGTGTTGGAAGAATTTGTTCCTTGAGAAAGAATGACAAGAGAGGGGGACGTTAGGGAGTGTTCGTGCACTTAAGAGACGTTGCAGACGTTACACTCCAGGGCTGTCTACATATAACCTTAGTAACCTTGGTGGAGGAAGGAAGAGTGTGATTATCAGAGGAGGAAGGATGTGGCAGGATCATCATTTTTTGAGAAACATCCTGTTGGATATAGTGGGTCACTTCTCTAGCTCCAGAACTGTCCTTTGGCCTTTTACTGCAATTTGAAAGGTTTCATTATTAAGCTGTCTTCTCTTAGCATGACATTGTGTAGCCATGATATTATTAGCTCTTGGCAGAAGGAAAAGTGAGGATGAACCCAGACACAGCAAAAAATCACTGGGAGCTGGGAGCGGTGAGAAGGTCACTGGTGACCAGCCGCTGCTGTCTGTGGTACTCTCGGTTCACTGGCTCGTAATGCTGGTGTGCTGCAGAGATGATTCAAAGTGATTCTTGTGAGGTGCCGGGACCATATTTAGGGAGGCTGGCTTCAAAATGGGAGAATGCCCAAGAGGGCGGAGCTGAGGTACGCCTGTTGGATTTCATGTTCCAAATTTATCAGACTAGTCCTTCTGCCGCCCTTGGGAGGGAGTGAGCTGTGGGGAGAGAACCCAGAGCGTCACTCAGGTGAGACCCCTTGAAGGAAATAAGAGGCAAGTGGATGGAGGTTTTCCCCTAACAGTGGGCACAAGGAGAGGAACCTGAATTCCTGCTTTCAGAGAGAACTCTAGGTAGGTGGACAGGTTCTGGAAACAAAATAAGCTCACATGAAAATCACAGAGTAGAGCTTCCAGGCGTCCCACATGTGTGGGACTGAGGCTGAGAAGCAGAGTGAGTGGGGAAGGGGGTCATCAGGAAGGGATCTCTGGACCAGACTTGCAGTTGCTGGGAGATGTCATATAGGCCAACGGTGAAAGCCCAGGTCAGAGTCCTGCATAGGTTTAAGTGGTAGATCTTGTAAGCTTTCTCTTCACTCTGATTCCCAGCTCACCAAGATTCTCTAAGAACGACTTTAAAAAAAAATCTGGATTGCTGTCATTCCCACGGACATAATCTTTGGGTTCTTTTGTTTTTACCCAGCAAGCAGAAGAGGAAAATGAGCTGAGGAAAAAGCAGGAACAAGCACTCATGGAAAAACTCCTGGAGCAAGAAGCCCTCATGGAGCAGCAGGACCCAAAGGTGAGAAGCGCCCGTCCCCTGAGACAGCCCTCCTGGGAGGGGAGGCCCTGGTGGCTCCTCGAAGCCAGCAGGAGAAGGGGCAACAAGCCAGATCAGCTCGGGAGCCTTACAGCTTCCTACTGGGGCTTGGAAACGTGGCACGTGGCCTTGTTATTCATTACTTTCTTCAGCCAACAGTGGAATGAGGTGAAGAGCATGATTGTGTAGCATCTCCATGTTTACAGAGATCAGGCATTTAAATCTCAGGTGGATATACAGCGAGGCTGTACCAGCTAACCTGATTGATTAACTGCTTAGTGTCCAGGGAAGGCTTTACGGGGTTGGTGCTGGTGTTGAGAGCTGGAGGGCATCGCTACAGGGAATGAGAGGGAGGGAGGCCCCGGAGGGAAGCAGCTTAGGTAACAGCCACAGAGGCTGGCAAATCAGTGTTCTTCGTCGATCCTCTGCACCAAAGTTTACACAGTCCGTGGTTATTACCAGTTGTCTCCTGGGGCCACAGGATCCAGCCTTCCTACTGCTGCCGGCTGGACTTTTGTGTGTGCTTCAGATAAAGTTTGTTTTCGTCCTAGAGGCTTTCTGAGTTGTTCTCTGAGCAGAATGTTGGGACGGTGCTATATGTGTTTTTGGCTGAGGCTGCTTATCCAGTGATCAGGCACATTTGGACCAGTGATGCTGGTCCCACTAATCTCTGCCATTTTTCTTTCTGCTCAGTCTCCTTCCCACAAATCAAAGAGGCAGCAGCAAGAATTAATTGCAGAATTAAGAAGGCGACAAGTTAAAGATAACAGACATGTATATGAAGGAAAAGACGGCGCCATTGAAGATATCATCACAGGTAAAAGATACTCTCTCATCGTGTCCCTTAGAGACCCCACTGACCTTACGTGTAGTGAGCTACTCGCACATTGTGCTGTCGCTTTTGTGTAGGATTTACAAGTTTTTCAGGTGACTTTATTCAGATCCAGAGTTATACAGGGGGACTCCATGCTAGTGTTTAAAGCATATTTATAGTGGCTGTGTACTTTCTGTTAAAGAGCCCCAGCACTCTTTGGAAAATCTGTTTCCCATTATCATTGGAACCTTGCACATTTCACCAGGCCCCACCTTCTGATGGTTTTCCATTGTCTTCAGTTTGTTAGCCTGCTCCATTTTCTACTGTGTGGCCACTCCTACCCAGGTGCCTGATTAATAAATCAAGCTTCTAGCTAGCAGGCTACTAGGCCTGGGCTGTCAGTGAGTGGGGCCTAACCCAGCCCAGCTCTTGACTGAATAAGCTGTAGCCTAATGCTTGCTGCTTGAATCCATTCTGTAAAGATTCCACATTCTCTTACAGATCAGGACAGTAATTTGAGCCACTACCTTGTGATTGGCCACTGGTGACTTTGCTTTCTTGTCTGTTGCATATGAATACTGTTTATTAGCTTCCAAGAGACTTTAAACTTTTTTACTGTAGAAAAATTTAAAAATATGCAATGCAAAAGTATAGAAAATAGTATGATGAGTTCCCTTGTCTGCTGCTGCCTACGTCCCATTCACCAACCTCTGGGGTTATTTTGAAGCAAGTCTAAGACATATAATTTCATCCGGTTTTATTTCTGTTTGTGTCTTCAAAAGATAAGGGCTTTTTAATAAAGCAAGCAAATATAGCCATAGTACCATTATCACATACCTCTAAAACTAACAACTTTTTAATATCAAATGTGCAGTCATTAGTCACATTTCCTCCACTGTCCTCATTTCTAAGAAATAAAACTTTTAGATTTTTTATTTCTCATTTTTTGTTAATAGTTCAGTCAGCATCAGAAATAGGGATCGATCCCAAACCGCCAAAATCACAATTTTTTTTCCACGAGCTCAGACCCAAGGAAATAAAATAGGTAAATAAATCACTAACAGGAAGTCAATAAAGAGTTTCTGGTCCAGAGTAAAGCCGTCTCAGTCGTCTGTGGATAGGTAAGTGGCTGATGAAGTGCCTGCATGTGACGCACACATAATCAGTACACGTGCGTCTGCCCGTGTCTCATTGTTCACTCTGCAGTAACCTGCAGATGGCCCCCAGAGAAAGTCCCCCTTGCTTAACCCCCTCTTTGTATCCCCCATACTGAAGGAGAAGCTCTGCTCAGAGCAAGACCAGGAGCAGATCTTTTTGGGTAAGCACCGGTTAGCTTCAGTGCCATAATAAGATTAGCTTGTAGGGAGAGAAGCATTGAGCCTCGAATATTAAGAATTTAGAGTTCCTTTTCTGCCAGTCTGTTCTCCATGTCAGTGACACCTGGCTTGTAAACTGAGTGAAATGAACAGTTTCTATTTGCCTGACCTTAATCATTCAGCTACCATTGGAAGTGAATGAGTATCTGCTTCCAGAGCAGGTTTTATTCTCTTTAAAATATTTTCACCCACCAAGCCCCAGACTGAGTAACTCTTTTAGACTTTATGAACTCACTTGGGTATATATTGCCTTTCCCTCCTTCCCTGGTCACTTCCCACCCCTGCCCCTTCCCCAGGTATGATTAACATAGCACTAACCATGTACTAATATGATAGATCTTGGCTTTTTACTCTCTGCTGTTTGTCTTATTTGGCTGTCATTTTCAATGCAGTGCTGAAGACTGTGCCCTTTACCGCTCGCACCGCCAAACGTGGCTCTCGATTTTTCTGCGAACCTGTTCTCACTGAGGAATACCATTACTAAACTATTACTCTTTCTCACCTGATGCTACAGGTTGCTACAGATTTTTTGACCTCTTATGCCCCTCTGTCTGTCTGTTTGAGCCACCCAGTATGCTAGCATGGAATTGCCATCTCCACCACGTTATATTTCATGTTGCCTTCATGCCGCATGGTTTTGCATTTCAGTCATTACTGCTTACTCACTGCCACTTTCAGTATGTCTATGATCCACACGGTTGTGGTGGTCTGAGTTTGTGGGAGTTGAATTAATAGAATTGCAGAAATTTTTAGAAAAATAGTATAAATAGAGCACTACTTTGAGAGCACTACTGCTTGGTAGTATTGGGACCAAGTAGGTTGTTATAAGACTTCTGGGCTACCAGTATCTTTGAACACAAAATGATAGTCATGAATAACAGTTAACTACTATACCTAATATTTATTGAGCATTTGCTGTTCTGTCATGGGAGTACAGATAGTTAATCAGCCTCCTTTCTATTCTCAGTTAACATGCTTTGATGACAAAATGAGCTCAGGAGTACAAAGTGCTCTAAAGTTGAAAAATGATTTGCAGAAAGAACTGTGAACTACACACAATAGTAAATTGGGTCTTAACTATCTTATACCATGTGTAGCCATCATCCACAGTATGATGGAGCTCATGGCACAAACAAGTAGCCCATTGGACATAGAAATCTGTGTAAGTTGATACAGGCAATCCATAGCTCTGTACTCAGCCTCTTCTCCTGAAGGTCATGCCCACATTCAGATACTATGTTGGAGCAAGGCTGTGAGGCAGAAAATGAAAACAGAGGCTTAGGAGCTCCCCATAGTCTTACCTCATTTGTGCTGCTTCACCGTGGCTCAGTTCCATGTCAAATCCAGGGCATTTCTCTTGAAACAAGATCATATCTGGACCTGCTTCTCTGATCAGGATGGTGGCAACCAGAAACACTAATAGCAGAATCCTATTCTCAGAGAATGCCACTATTCTTAGAATAAAAACAAAACACAACCCCCAAAATTTCAAGAAGTAATGGCCTGCCCTTGGTTCCTGATGGCTAGATAAGAGACAGACTTCTCTGCAGTGCCCAGTTGATTAGAAAATGGACCAGGGAGGCACATATTCTAATTGGAAATAACCATTAACTCCCATGTTGAGATTGACATGGAACAGGGTACCTGTTTCAATTGTGGCACTAGCTCTTCTGTGACTTGGACCTGTCACGTATGTGCCTCTGTCGCTGAGGGTCTCAGAGGACGTGGTGTGTTGTTGCCTGCCCTGCAGTGTACTTACTCACTAGTGCTTATTAACAAGGCTAGACACTGTCAGCTCAGCTAACATTCCTGTCAGCTTTGCTGCTGGACTATCATTCTGGAGCCAACTTTCAAAGCAGCTTGGATTTGGGTGGACCGAGGGCTGGGTGGGAAGAGCCTCTCCTCTCTCCCTTGTATCTAACACTTCTTGTATTAATGGCCTCCCACTCTCTTCCTCTGTTGGCTAACTTGCCAGGTATGTTAAGCACTAAGTTGAATTGCTTTCCATTTTCATCCCATTTTTACTTAACCATCATTTTGTGTTTTTGTTTTTTTTTTCTGTTTAGCCTTAAAGAAGAATAATATCACTAAATTTCCAAATGTTCACTCGAGGGTAAGGATTTCTTCTAGCACACCGGTGGTGGAGGATACACAGAGCTGGCAAGCATCACTTTTTACTTAGCTTCCTCCTCTCTCTGTATGCAGATCAGTGGTTTCAGTCTATGGCTGAGGGGTGATACTGGTGAGAGTCTGACCAGGGAGAAGTCTTTGTAACCTCGCATTTCAGTATGTGAGGCAGAGCCTCTCTGTTGGACTCTCTCTGGCCTGCTTCCATGTTATTAAGTGTGATGGCTTGGGCAAGGGTATTTGCTGATGATCCTACTTGCTTTGGGTGCTAGGCTCTCCTTCCCCTTCCCTTTTCTTGGCCTTCAGGTTAATCAATTAACTTCTTTTGATCTGAAGAAGTTGAGAGCATGTCCTGGCCGGGGAACACATCTATATGGCCTTTGAAGAAAGATGAAGATCTTCAGAGCCAATTGTTCGGAAGAGTCAGGCATCAGAGAGCTACAAGTCACTGCACATCCTTAGCCAGAAGTGGAATTCCGAACTTCCCTTACCACTCTGGGCCAGGAAGCAGGAGCAGGAGAGGATTAAGGCACACAAAACTATTCTTCCCTTAAACTTAGAAGTAGGGCCGGGTAATAGATTCCAAGGAGTCAGGAGCTGGCGGGGATTGTGCTGAACCAGAGAGCTTAGGTCTCAGCATTGACATAGCTCCAGTCTATTTTTGCCATGTGAAAATTTGGGCTCGGTGTTGCCAGGCCTTCCAATTTTCCAAGGGAAGTCAAAAACCCTGTTCTTTGTATTACTTATCTATTTAAAGATCAGGAAACTGTATATAAACATAAAAGTTGGAGGCCAGACATTCTGTTGGCCAGATTTGGCCCATTGGCACCATGTGCAAGCTACTTAGTAGGTAAAGGGATAAAGATTCCATCTGGTTTAATTCTGTTGTTGTTTGTTTCCCCCTTCTAAATACAGAATGTTTCCTAACAGAAGTCAGTAATATTAAGTTAATGAAAGGGAAACAAAGTGCAAAGCCTGCCCTGACACTACCAAAAGCAGCTTACCTGCTTGCTAGTGCAAAGCATGATTTCATATTAAGAATACTTACATAGAATAAAATCCCTTTGTTCATCCCACTTTATTCTGTTAGAACAATGCCTCCTTGAGCCATATGCAGTGATTGATTCATTTACTCAATAAGACTTTTTTTTAAATGGTAGGCATTTTTAAACATTCTGTATATTTGTAATACCAGCTGGAAAATTTAGGAGGGCCCACTCAGCTTCTCCCTTCCAGTGAAAAACAGGAACGACCTATGGTAGGAGAGAATGTACAGGTATGGAGTAGTAGTTTGATTTAGTGATGATCATTTTTAGGGGTTAACTGAGCATTGTTTCTACTTCACAAAATACAAAATGGACTTCAGTGAATATTAATTGAATAAAAATAACGGAACCTCTGCCTGCAAAGTAAGCCTAGTGTCCTTCCTTGATTAAAATTGCAGGTAACATAGGACAGGGCAGTAGGCTTATTGGTTTTGCAGTTTAAGACTCATTGCAATTATTGTTGATACTTAGCTTCCAGAAAATAAAAAACAAAACTAAGCCACAGCTTTTTTTCCAGTTGAAGAAATACTTCAGAATAAGACTTCAGCTAGACTCTCTGGCCAGTGACAGAAGCAATTGCCTCTCCTGTATATTTTTCTTAAAGTTCAGAATCACACCAGTATTACATCCTGCTTTGTTTAAATATTGAGGGCAAAGTACATGTCCTTGGCTCAAATACTCAATGAATTTTGAAGGGCCTTGTTAGCTGACTCTTCTACACAAGCTGCTTTGATTGGCTGCCAGCTGATTTTTATCTTGCTTAGACACATGATACTAAGGTTGCAGTTCTCTCACTGGTGATCTTCTCTTTACAGATCTTAGAAACCAACCATACAGACGAGCCGATGCGGTGAGGAGAAGTGTCAGGCGGCGCTTTGATGATCAGAACATGCGTTCTGTTAATGGTGCCGAAATAACCATGTGAACCTAAGACCTGCCTGCATGAATAGAGTGTGTGAATGAAACGCTCCACATGAACTTTATGTGCTACCATTTAACTGCAACCTTGAACATTGATAAAATCTTCTAAGGGCTCAGATTTAGCAAACACATAGGAATTTAAAGATGATGGGCTCTCCTTTCAACCTTTGTTAACAAGTGCCTACAAGTGGAAGTACCTGCTCAGATTAATCAAAGCAATAGGGTTTGATTTGATTAGGTATCTTTTTACACCAGTATATTATTCCAATTTTTTAACCAAAATGTAAATTTCGTATTACATTTGTTATCTGCCGTCATGATTGTCCCATGATGGCACACCCTGGCTTCCTGATAAGTTGTAAATAACATGGATGTACTCTGCTCTGGGTTTCCTTTGCTGAAATGTCTTAAGGAATTTTGTGTTTTAGCCATACCCATCAGCTTTGTATTTTAAAGGGCTTGCGACATGGAAGCAGGAAAAGGTCACATGATCGACTCCTGTCCATAAGCAAGCCCCAGTGAAGTACAAACACGATGCATTGCAGTGGCATGGGATACATCACTTAACTCTGTCTCCTTCCACATTCTACTACTTCTGTGCTAGGGTTATGATGCCCTTGAGAAAAGTTCATCCATATGAATGCAAGGATATAATGGCGTACAGATTTGTGTAAGATTTATTTGCAGTACTGTGTTCTTCAGCTAGAGGCAGCTTTTAAAAAAATAATGCAAATGTATTTATTAATTAGCACTAAAATTAACATCTCAGTAATCACTCTTAGGATTTCTGAGGACTATTATGGGCCAATCCTAAGAACAGAAATTGGTGCCTTGCTAGCCAGGGAGAAGCTCACTAGCTCTACCAACAAGCATTCAAGATTACTTCTGCTAGCTAGTAGTGTTAGTTAATCTAGCCTTATTCTCCTGACAATCGCCAAGTTATTTTCCCCCTTATTCTTCCTCCTTTTGTAAATTGGATACATTTTGCATCATGTTATCAAAGCTAAATTCTCGTATTTCCCACATTGCTTTATGGGGAGCTGCAATTTAATTGCTTGAAATATTCACATTGGGGTGAAGCTTACATGATAGGTAATGGGACTAAATGGCCAATTAGGCCACTGTTGTTTTTCCTTCCTCTCTGGCAGGGCACTTGATTCATTCCAAAGTCAAAAACTGGACTAAAGCTAATTTGTACTTTTCATAACATACATTCTGCTTCTGGCTTACCTTCTTGGTACAGTACATCAACATATTAATTGTAAAGTTTATTGTATAGTATTTAACCACTGAATCTTATTTTATGTTGTGCTTATGTGAGCTCCTTGGTGAAGGTCCCATTTTCCTTGGATAATGTGTAGTTATATGATCTCTTTTTAAATGTACAGATATTTTGCTATAAAATTGGTGCAGTTTTTTATGGTTTTTACACTTTAATTCCCACCTAAGCCTCTGGGTAATAATGTAAATATTGTTTAAAAATGCATCAGCCTGTGCTATACAATCTGAATGTTATTTTAACTTATAGGTTTTTTTTTTTAATATATATATTTAACTACAAGGACAGTTTAGGGATCAGTTACATTTCACTTTAGCATACCTATTTACAAAAAATTACTTTTAAAACTGCCACCTGCTAGCACATTTTCATAAATGTGTACTTTAAAAAGAACATGCCAAGATTTTGTCTGTTGACACATTCATTCTGATGAAAAGAGCAATTTGACCATGAGCTACAACACAAGTAGTTGGCCCTTTATCACAAGCAGCTGTTTTCCAGAGCTCAGTGCTAATGAGCATATATTAAAACAATTGCCTATTTATTAATCTATAGATAGACAATAATGTTGGCATGTTCTTTTCTGTTTATTAATGGGCCTGCTTCTTAGCAATATTAGAAATGTTTTATAAAAAAGCAGTTCATGTTACTTTTCTGGTCTTTTCATGGCATATGAGCAAATAAACTATTTACACTACTATCCTGTAACATGTTGTGATCTTTCAGCGGCATACTTTGGCAGGGAGGTTACTAGTTCTATGGTTTAAATTCAAGATACGAACTCTTGATCATCCGCTAATGGAACATAGGAACCAGATTTTCGTAGCGAGGGATACATCTCCAAAACTGTACTTAATGATTCTATTGCTTCCAAAGAAGCACTTTTCTTTGGTGAGGGTATTGCCTCCCCCCAGATTTGTTCAGTGAGGAAGTTGTGTGTATACATGTATGTTATGTGTGGACTGCAGATGTAACCAGGTAATCTTGCAGCTGACAACCACGTTGGCTGGCCAGGTACGTACAAGCCATTTGGCCTCCATTGCCCAGACAGACTGAGATTTGTAGTGATAGATAATTCCAGGTCCTCAGAAAAAAATCATGTGCAACATTCAGTAGATTGTTTTTAGGGAAGCAAGAAAATTTGATATATTTTAATGTTTTATTTTTGAGAGAAAGAGAGTGGGAGAGACAGAAATACAGAATCTGAACCAGGCTCCAGGATCTGAGCAAAGAGCCCGACACGGGATCTGAACTCACAAATTGTGAGATCATGACCTGAGCCGAAGTTGGACGCTCAAAAGACGGAGCCACCCAGGCGCCCCTAACCACTTTTAAAGATGCTTGCCCATGACTCAGAAATTAAGTCTCCCGATTCCCCATTCTCAATCCTCTAAAAGTCTAAATTCTGATCTACTAAAATTACACTGCAATGAACATCCAAAGGGCCCTGCTGACTTGGTAATGCTCAACCCAGAATGGGACCTGATATATCACCCACTGGTTCAATGTATTGGATTTTGTAAAATTATCTCTTTACACTGGAAGATCTACTTTTGTAATAGCTTTACAATTCACATGCCAATTAAGGCGATAAAACAGCTCTTAGCCCCAAGACATTTTGAAAAATTTTATCAGAAATGTCTGCGAAGATGATTGGCCCAGTATATATGAAAGGATTATTCTATTTTTAATTTCTCTTAAAACTAATACCTAATCTATTTTCAAGAAAAAATTTGAAGAAAAAGTACATCAAGTGTTTATAGATTTTCTTTGGTCTACTTTTTATAGAGAAAATCAAGTATTACACTGAGGAAACAATGTGGGCATCTAGCCTCTCACAGCACACAACTGCTGCATATGAGGGGTGCTTCAATGAAAAAGTTGACACAAATCCAATTTACTTAGTAAAAAGTCATTTTTTTCTAATAAATTATATTTATTTACAAAAGTCTAATTTTATATAACTATTAAGGTTCTTTACATCAGAACAATATATAAACAGAAGAGAAAATCTGGTAATTACAAACAAGGAAAATAGAAACCTGTTCCTCCTCTTATTATTACTCAACTTTCAGAACAAATCTTCAGTTGTAGGGAGGCAAGAGACCGAACCTACCAAAGTTTCCGGCAGGTTCAAAATAAAATATTTATAAATAGCACATTTTAGATACCCCAAGGAACAGCATAAAAGGGCACCAAGAATTGGCTTAGCTGGATTCTGATTAGGCAGCCACTGTTTCTACCAATGAAAACTGGGATGGGGGGGTACAGGTAGTTCTCCTGAATAGGCCATTATACCTGGGGCAATTCCCAGTCATTAACAATAGAACAAGATGGCCTTCAAGTATAGATCCTGTGGAGTCACAAAAGCAGTTGTTATGCAGCAAGTTTGAAAAGCACAGAAAATCTACTTAAGGAATTTAGGTGAAGGAGACAAGCTAAATAAAATGGAGATGGAGTGTGCAACTGGAGCCAAAATTTCTCACTTCCCATACCTCCCGTTTTGTTGGAAGTAGCCTGAAATGATAGTTTTGAGTTTAGAATTTAAGCATTTTGCTGTTGTTTCCAGCATGGCCTTTAATGAAAGACTAACTTTGATCTAGCTTAACGTTCTCCTTTTAAATAGAAATTACTACTTTTGAACTACTAAAATATTTATGAATATGAAAAAAAGCTATGTTTCACATCATCACAAGAGATTTCCTTTCCTATTCAAAACCACATGAAGTTACATGTACTAACAAGCTTTTGGACATTTCTGTAGTAAAAATTACAAGGTACAATCACTAGAACTTGTCCTCAGTGCATTTCAGTTATGTATGTGGCTTTCACTGTGGTCTAGTATTGTTTGTTGTATCATGTTCAAGCCCTAGAATGCACGAGGGTGGGTACCATGGATGTTGGATGAGTCTGTCAACTAAAATTTTACATTCATTCAATGTATGCCTATGGTGTGCCAGGCACTGTTCTAATCCACAGGATATAGCAGTTAAGGACACATAAATCACTGTCTCCCAGGAACTTGACTACTACTGAAGTCCAAACAACAGAAAAACTTAAGAGCAAGGCAAGATTTAATAAAGGTAAGAATCATTAGACTGAAATATGCTATAATGCCTATTTAGAACACAGTTCCATGAAAAACTACTCATGACATTTTGCTTTCCATTTATGTAAAGTGAGTACAGTTTTACCTAGAAAATGTGAATTGTACCTAGTACTGAGAGAGATACATCTCCAAGGGAAAAGCAGCAGCCTGATTTAAGATACAAGGAATTAATGTGCTTTGCCTCATGTTGCTTTTAGAAATGTTTATTTGGTTCCTTAGTTTTGTACTTTACATTTAAATTACATAATACTCTTACATACTCTATACTTAAAGCATTCATCACTCTTCCCTGGGCACTATTTGATTAGAAACATTCTCTCTCTCAATTAGCATCTAACCTATAAAAAAAAAAAGAAAATCTTTATGTAAAGGCTACTCCTTTCTGGATGCAAAAAGTGGCTGCCTAGTCAGCACTGAGTTGACCATTAACACTGGAAGAAAACCAGGATCATCTAGGCAAATGCTTTGTACCACAGGGCAAAAGCCCTTTGAAAAATTATAATCATGGACCCTCTTTCCAGAAAAATGTAGAGATGTTTCAGTGTTTACTTTTTTTTTTTACTCCACCAATGAATTAAAGCCTTACTCTAGGCCATTTTTATAATTGTATGAAATGAGGCCCAATTAGCAAAAGTCAAGCTGTGACATTTTGATCATTTTCAAATTTACTGGTAGGCATAGAAACTGAAGTTTTTATTATTCAAAACCATGAATAATCTAGATGCTGAAGCTCATATGGGTAATAACGAAATACTCTTGCTGTGTTGTAAAACAAAGGTAGGACCATTGCTTTTATTTAAAAGCATTATTTAAAGAAATTTGGGAAAGTGCAAAGAATTCATCATACTTGACTAAGGTAACTCCTTATACAAATTCAATTTTCCCATATAGGAATTACTGGACTGCAAGAAAAAGAAAACATCAGATAGTTGAGATTCTTTGACTATTCTGATATTAAATATTAGTAAATTTAATCCAATGATTTATTAATATTGATGTATTTTGAATTGCAATTTATTCTGTGGTTAAGTTTTTAGGTCAGATAATTTTCATGAACTGTAGAGAAACTTGAATTTGTATTGTAGGGATTTGAGGTGATAAGATAGTATCTCTAAGAAATACAGAAATCTATTTTGAGGACATGCTAAAACATATCAATAGTTTTTTATTTAAATAGAAAAATTAAAACTTAAAAAAGTCATCATTCATGGAAAACAAAATTTTACAGATTTTAAATTCTATTGTGAAACACCACTAGTACTTCTGCCAATATGATATGACTTTAAAGATTTTACCACTGATGTACATGTCAAGTGTTTGACATGATTAGCGGTATTAACTCTTATGAGACGTCTGAAAATTAAACCTAGCCCACTCCCTATTGCCAAAGTTGTTATATGTTTTGGTTCTAAGATAAAATAAGAGACTCACCCTTGAGCAAGCAACTTGATTACTTCTCGTATTCTAAGGATAGTGATTCTCATTTTCCAGTCCTGTCAGTCAGTTTTCGTAGCAGAAAAATGACTTGGCAGAGGAGAAACAACTTCCCCGTTCCCTTATGAGGCTTTCAACAGTGGATGGATGCTAGATTTAATTGAAACAGTGGGTAGGGATGGGAGCATAGTCCTGGTCATTTCATTAGAATGGTGAAGGAAAAATAAAATGAAATTTTTGTTCTTCTAAATCCGAACTTGAAATAGGATCGCTCCAAGTGTCCAAAATAAAAAAAATACATAATGCCAAAGACTATGTGCTAAAATTTACTTATTAAAAAAATTTCCTGCACTGAAGGAAAATATTATAAATTACATTACCAACTTTCAAAAGTTAGCATGTAAAGAGGATTCTAGCTTCAAACCATTGCCTTTCTAAAGATTTTCTATAGGAAATTTGTAGATCAAAAACAAATTATAGGGGCTTCAAATGTACTGACTTGTAATATTCCTAAATATTAATAAGGGAAAGTAACCTAGCTATGTGGGTAAGATGAAGCAAAATTTCAAGGATTTAATATCTTGAAATGATCATACAATTTTCTTAAAGTAGTTTAAGTAGAAATAAATACTAGTACACGCTAGAAGAGAAGGTTTAATAATTGATAAAAATGTACAAAAATATTCAAATCAGAAATGCTTTAGAATGTGTACCACGAAGTCAATACTTCTCAGTGAGCAGGGAAGATAAAAGACTTCCTCAATGAAAAAAAGCAAGAGAAAAGATTGGATTAAAAAAAAAAAAAAAAGACAACTGTTAAAGAAAATGTTTAAGTCAACATTGATTTTTGTTTCAGACAAGGATATTGCAACTATCGCTTAACGTTTGGTGGCACATTCTTTAGTAGGTCCTTAAGGCAAATATATTTAAACTAATTTACAATTTGATTTGATGTTAACTTTTTAAACATCACCTCAAAATAATGCCCTCACGACAGCCTTTTTAAAATGTATTCAGATGTTTCATAAAAAATAATGGTGGCTTTATTATAGTAGTGCTCATTAGCACCACTATAGTTAAGGGTCTACCAGGTTTCCATTATGAACACCTATATCTGAATTCACCAAAGAAGATCATATCAGCTTTAACCAGTTGGGTAGTGCAC